GTGTGATCAGACCGGTGTGTGGCATTTTGGGTGCACTCAGGCCAGCAAGGGGGGGCAGTTGGGGGCGAGAAGGCTGGGGGGAGGGCAGTTGGGGGCGAGCAGGCCAACAGGCAGAGTGGTTAGGGGCGATCTGGCAGGCAGGTAGGTGAGCGGTTAGGAGCCAACGGTCCCAGATTGCAAGAGGGATGTCCGACCCCGAGGGGTCCCAGCCAGATTGGAGAGGGTGCAGGTGGGGCTGAGGGACAACCCCCTCCTCCCCCCTGCATGAATTTTGTGCCCTGGGCCACTAGTCCCTATATAATCAACCGGCTGGTAGGAGGGGTTAGAGAATTTACAGGGTGACCTGCTGCTCTCTCCATACTGCCGGCATTATTGGAATGAACACTCATATATGATTCAACCCTGTCTCTGCTTAATTTGGCTCAAGTAGTGACAGGCAGCCTGGACCCATTTGGTGTCTGGGATCAAAAGGACAACCGCAGCGGCTCCCTCCCTCCTTCTCTTTGCTCCCCAGGGACCTGGTAACTACAGGGATGCAGAGTAAGAGAGCAAAGCCATAGGCTCACCTGGCTGGGTGGAACCAGAGATCGGAAGGGCATATTTCCCGGCTTTGGTTTCATCAGAAACAAAGAGTTCTGCTCATTGCTCAGATGAGGGAGCTGCTGGGGAAGATAAGCCATCAGGGATGTCTTGCTCTGACCAACCCCAGGGCCGCCTTGCCCACAGTCCGCTTTGTAATGAGAAAGGGGCTTGGTGTTGCCATAGTCCAGCATCGACCCTTGGTTAGCCATGGCGTTCTGGCTCAAGTTACTTGGTGGCTGGTGACTCAGCAGGTTTCCATGGCTGGGCTGGAGGTAGGGGCCTCCGGGACGAGGGGCGCTCTTGTTCACACTGGGCATCATGAGCAGTTTGGAGTTGGTGAACTCTTGCTTGTAGCTGGGAGGGCTGGCAGGCTTCTCCATGGTGTAAGGAACATTTAAGGGACTGTGGGAGGAGCCCGTCTGCTGCCAGGTGGACATCTGGCCTGGTGCTGGTGCTGGGGCAGGCTGCTGTGAATTCTGGAGCATCTGCTCGCGTTTCTGCTTGGCGGCGATCTGCTGGAGCTGGTGGGCAGAGGACAGCTCTGAGGCCACTCCTGGGCCCTGGCTAGGCAGCACCACACTGGAGATGGCTCTTTGTGCATTCTGGGCCTGGGCTGATGCCGGCATCAGGTTGGGACTGGGATTTTCTGCCCTGGGCTGACCAGAGGTGTGGAACAGAGGCTGAGAGCCCCCTAGGCTGGATGAATCTGTGCTCACAGGCCCGGATGAAGGACCCATAAAGGTCTGTCCTACAGACCCAGCCCTCACTTGTGGAGAGCCTAACTGTTCTTGTTCAAAGGCTGCTGGAGAGAATTCTGTCTTAATATTAATGTCCTGTGCCAAGGGGGGCTGTGTGGCAGAACCAGAGGACTCTGGGTCCTTCTTCTCCTCAAAATCCTCAGTGAACAGATCCTTCATGTCTTCATCGGGCACCGACCTGTTCAGCTCCTCGATGAGCTCCTTCCACTCCTGCTCGTTCAGGTTGAGGTCAGTCATGAGGTTGCTTTGGGATATGGAGCCTCCGGCCCCTGTGATCATGCAAGGCAGATCATCGACAGGCTCCTGCTTCAGCTCTTTATTCAGGCTCAGAGGAAATGACTCACTGGGGTTGCTGCCTCCATTCAGGTGGAGGTGCGAATCTGCCAGACACTTCTTGTTCATGGAGTCCAGTCCCAGCGAGTGCTTCCCGCTGGCCTGCAGGGCCTCTGCACCAGGCTCCTCAGGCTGACTGAGGGGGGAGGCTGGAGGCAGGCCATTGGAAGAGACACCTACTCCCAGGGGAGCCTCCCGGCGGGTCTTCTTTTGCCCAGAAAAGAGGTCTCCATAGCCATTCTGCTGACCGCCATTCTGTGGGGAGGTGGTACTATCAAGGCTCCTCTTCACCGTGTCATGGAGATGCTAAAAAACATGGAAAAGAGTGATTATGTGCACAGCAAATGTAAAAGGCCCTCTGCTTCTTATGGTGACTCAAACTAGGGACCTGCAGCCCTGCTGCTCTCCTGATGATTTTGCCTCCCCACTTTACACTCCCCACTCTGGGAACCCCTCCTCCCATTTCCTCTCCGGGGTTGCCTCTCCCTTTTCCAGGTCCTGGGGCCTCGCCTGAGTCAGGACCACTAACTCAGCTGTGGGAAAGCAACCCAGTTAGTCGATGGGTCAGTCCCTGGACTTTTGCAGGACACAAGCTTGATGCTGCTCAGTCATTCAGAGTGAGGGTGTGCCCACCAGTGGAACAGAGGAGAAAGAGCCAGAGGATACATATATATTCTGAGGGCATCATGTGTCTGGATCTAATTATACCAGAGACCAGCCATTCCCCAGCCCTACACTGGCCTTTCCACCTATGGGAACAAACACATCCCTTTTTGTGTTTAAGCTGGTTTGGCTAGGACAGGGGCCCTGGCAGCACAGGCTCTTTCTCAGGCTTGGTGCGGGCTGGCCATCAGCACAGGCTCCACCTTGTTGCACGGGCCAGTGCTAATGCCCTTCCCAGCCTTTCTAGAGCTTTGCTCAGCCCCACCCCTTTTCTCCCACTTTTCTCCCACTCTCCTCCCTGCCAACCATGAGCATCTTCTAATCCCCTGCACCCAGTCACCAGCCTTCACAAACCCTATTTCTTATCAAGACCATCTGGTCACAGACGGTCTGTCTGCACTGATATTCTTGCTTCCCCATATCCTCAACTAAATTCATTCAACTACTCATTTATAAAGAGTCTGCCTCGTGCCAGGAACAAGTGCTATGGACTATCAAGACAAAAAGGGTGGTCCCCTCTCCTCATGGGCTCCCAGTCTTCTAGGATATAGGACATGCAGGGACATGGCTACAGAATAAGATGAATGGCTTATGCAAGCAATAAAAGCTGAAAACACTCTGACTATGCAGGAGCTGGGAATTTCAAGAAGTAAGATGAGGAGGAGAGAAGGTAGTAAGTGTCTTTCTACTATTTCCCCCAGTCTCATTTTCAGGTGTCAGGACAGGACTCTTCCACTAACAGAGGTGCCCTAAACTTAGCCTCTAAACACTGGCTGCTCCTTTACTATGTTTACTCTTGTTACATTTTTGTCCTTCACCCCCTCCACCCTACCTAATTCCATGGTTTCCTTTCCCACTGACTATACTGAGCTATTTTACAAAGTTCCAAATAACAAATTTCACTATTATCTTTAAACAGATTTCAGAGGAGTCAGACAGTAGGATGTGCTGTTTGTTTCCCAGCTGCAGAGAAGGGCCATAATGACCTACCACATCTGCCCTGGGAGAGAGTGCAGGAGTATCGTAACCTGGGTTCCTATCCAAGGCAACACCATGGACACCAGCTCTTAGCAGCAAACTACTCACTAGGCACTAATGCACAAGGAGTAACAAAAAAAGAAGGGCAATTTTCTAAATCTACGAATCCCCATTCTAATGCTCCCATTCCTTCCCCCCCACTTCAAGATTTTCTTTATTTCTTACATTGCTCTAAAATCCCGGCTGAGTACTTCTTTAAATTGATATCTATGTACTTAAATTAGCTCCGAAAACCTAGTAATGTTTGATAAATGAAACTGTAGGGAAGAGTAAGAAAACATGATTCTAAGACCAAATCTCAAGCATGCAGCCAAACCCTCCATTTACTTTCTTTTCACTTTACTTTTTTTGTAGGTTCCTCTGCTTCATGCTGCCACCTAGTGGTGAGAGGAGGAAAGAAGCCATACTCCTAAAATGGAGCCTTTATAAGATCCATTGTTTGAAAAGTTTCCTTTGGGGATGGTAAATTTATACTCATTTAATCTGTCAGAAGGAAGTCAAAACGGGTTGTTAATTTTTCTTGAATTTTTATTCTTTCTATTGTTTTCTTTTTTTTAAAATATATTTTTATTGATTTCAGTGAGGAAGGGAGAGGGAGAGAGAGATAGAGACATCAATGATGAGAATCATTGATTGGCTGCCTCCTGCACGTTGCCTACTGGAGATCAAGCCCGCAACCAGGCATGTGCCCTTGACCGGAATTCAACCCAGGACCCTTCAGTCTGCAGGCTGATGCTCTTATTCACTGAGCCAAACCAGCTAGGGCTAGTTTTCTGTATGAAAAATCATTTGTTCCTCAGTGTCGTGTTTGGGCTGTCTGTAAACCTGTTCAGTTTTCCATTTTCCTAAGGAGGAAGATGGAAACCTAAAAGGTCAAGGCGCTTGATGAGTCAGCTGGTTGCCCCAGTTTAGAAACAGAATCCTTTTTTGCCCTAACAATTATAAAAGCTACCACTCCTTTTTTCAATATCCACATGCAAACAGATGCAGACAAGTTCCAAAGCAACAACTTAATTTTGCAATACGAATTGCATTTACCCAAAGGAAACACCAGGCCATTGTCTCAACCCCTCTCAGAACTTGACTGCAATGATGCAGATGGACAGAAAGGGAGAGGGAAAGTGGTGACCTGGCAGATTTTTAAGCCGTGTGCATATGCAGGAGTGCCTGATATGTGCAGGGCACTGCAGAGAGGCAAGGTGAGTGAACGACAGAGCCTCATCTCCAGGAATTCATAAGAGATGGGAAAATGGCCTGAACAGATTACATAAGAACGAACACAGTAATCACTTGTAAGTACACAAGACTGGCTGGCATGTACAAATGCACATGCTTGCTTCAGCATAATGTGGTATTTCTGGGTGCTCAGCTCAGAGGTTCCTGTCTTAACTATCAAGTGGTCTCTGGGGGGAGGCCACTCCCTTGCACAGGGCTCCAGGAGGATCCAGTTCTGGGATAAAACCATCTGGTGCTTGTTTCCTTCACAAGGGGGTTTTGCTGGAGAATGCTGCATGCCTGACAGTAAACTGGAGGCCCCACATGCTCACCCGGCCAGGCTTGCAGCAATGAACCCTGAAGGCTTGATTCCCACCCTCGCCTGTGCCACCCACCATCTTCTATTCTGAAAGAGGGGCCCCCACATATCAATGCTGCTCCCAGTCAAGCTGGAATTGCCACACGTTGTGGACATTAAATCAACATCCTGACACCCTGCTTGACCTACTAGGCTTACATAACAGTCCTCTACTTCCTCTCTTCCACCATCCACCACTGAAATTCCAGTGTGCTCTGTAGTCAAACTCCCCCAAATGATAACCCCTATACTCTTTCACTCCGAGTTAACACACAGAGGCAGCTGGTTAAGACAAGGTGGCTCTCTCATCCGTGCTCCTTACATCCATGCTGTCAGCCACGAAGGGCAGCCACCAGTGCTCCCTGCCCCTTCTCATAGGCATTCATGTTCCCTCCTCCTTCCTCTTCTGTCATCCTCCTACCAGCCAAATACCCCGCTCCCCAGCTGCATGTTAGTCCAAAACCACGTGGTTTCTATCCTCTGGGAACTGACTGGATGTTGGATGTGGGCAAAGAAAGGGAGGGTTTAGGAGGACTGCTTTCTCCAAGGCCAGAATGATCTTCATGATGTTAAACGCAGCCTACATTTTTAGTCTTTCCCTCTCCCTTTCTGTCCATCTGCCTCTTAATAATTCCCTCCATCTTTAAAGCTCTTTCCTTATATTTCTTTACATTATCTTTCTTTCTCTTCTACTTTTATGGTTGTTTCTTCTCAGACTCATTTAAGGTAGGTGTAGGTCTCCCTTTCAAATAAATATCAGAGACCTCTCCTCTCTTCACTATGCACACACTACCATTGACCTCATCCATTCCCGTCTTCAAATTCCTATGACTGAACATCACACTCAGAATAAACCCAGCTTCCTAAGGACCAAGTGCTGATCCA